ACCGTCACATTAAAAAAATGTTAATTCAACAATTCTCAACATTGCTGCTGATAATATAGCTATCCATAGCGATGATGACAGCACCAGCATAAAAAGAATGTTGGTTATTAGAGAAATTCTAAACATTTTGGGTTAAGAAGGGTTAATTGATAAGTTTAAAGCACCATCATCTTCCATGCAACTGTTCTTAGTCTTTTAGACACAGGAAGAGACATACAGACATCTGGAATGTTTGATCTTGACACTGACAAATAATGAATTATTTCACTAGTAAGTAGAGAGTAATGAGGAAAATCACTTTCAAATATGGATAGAAATGATCTGAATGACTGAGTCCATACCTTACATTGATAGGATAGCATGGTAAACATCTCTAATGAAGATGAACTATAAGTAACAACTTTAATCGCTTATTTTGTTGGGAAATAAAATCTCAGCTTAGATTTAAAAAAAAATATATCCAATGTCTAAATAGTTTTGTGGAACATTAGACTTGTGTAAACCTGTAACTTGCATCCTGGTCCCATCCAAATCCTGTCATATTAAAATGAGGCAGATGAGCCTCATATGATTTATCTTAAAACATTTTCATGTATCACCTTTAGTCTCAGAGCTTTGTTCTAATCCAGCAGAGACGTGCATCTAAAAACAACCAGGCCTCAAAACCAACCTGCCCTAAAACCAAGGACAAAGCAAAGTAGCACAGACGTTTCTGTAACAAGACTGCTATGCTGGGACAGAGCTTCATAATGAAAGGTCAGGATGGATAAACCTCACAGGTCTCCTCTGTTTCACCAGTTTGCTTGGTGGTTGTTTTTTTTTTAAGAGAGTGGATTTGGTGAGAGAGAACTGCTCTTTTAACAATAATTTGCAACTATGTATGCACGTAACCCACATATTAACTTAAATAAATCAGATGTAGTCATGTCCTGTTCATTATCACATGGGACTTTTGGCTTCGACTTATTTTGACCAGGCACAAATGGGCAGGATTCAGCACGCACAAAATTACACGCAAAAAGTCTTAAATTACACTTGGATAGTTTTCTATACTTCTGTTAGAGACCTCTGTTCATAAAACTTGTTGTCTTGTGACAGTCCAGCCACTTCTATTAAGAAGAGTAATTCAATAATATTAAAATAATTTTCATTTAGTACGTTAGTTCCATAAAACTTCAGTAGTCACACAAAGAGAAACAGAACCATACGTATGCTATTTCAGCTTATAAAATGCTGGCTATGATGCGTGGTCTCTGCAGTTCCCATTCAAATAAATACCTAAATGAGAAGGCTCTATTTTACTTATTATATCGACTTTGTCAGGAGAGTCTTTCATGATGACCCAGCAAAAACGAGGCACACTGTCTGTTAAAATCTCTATCATCAGATCAGCAAGAGAAACCACAGCAAATATTTGAGCATGGGGTCAGCCCACTTCCTGCGTTTTACCCGTAGTTGCAGGAGGTGGTGAGGGCGCTGCCAATTTTACTGGTACAGTCCGTTTCCCAGACTTCTGAATGAGTCTGTGCTGCCTTGGATCTGCTCATCTGCGTCCACAGAACTGTTACGAGAGACTCCGTATCTGGCCTTTAAATGAACGGAAAGACGTTTTTGTTTTGCAAATGAAAACATTTTGTGACAGAAACGCTGCGCATGACCGTGGAGACCTCTGACAAAGCCAGCTGGCTGCTGGAAAGATGGAAAATCAACGACTGCACAAGTCTGGCTGCTTGTTTCACAACTGTCGAGCTGTTAGGCAATAGTAATATGGTTATTGCATATTAATAGAATATAACACTAATTAAAGCTTATTCCAGCTAAAAGCCTAGTAAATAATCTAATTTCTGATTTCTAAAAGCTTGCACATTTAAATAGCTAATGGATGTTTATGATATTTAGTAAGTTATTAAGATTTGAACTGCAATACAAATTTATACAATCCAGTCAGTAATCTACGCTTAAAAAGCGCTTTTGGTACAAAAGGAATCAGTACGGTCTCCTGGGTAAATATTTTAAATGCGGGATACATTCTCCTCCTTCGCTACAGATGCTTTCTGCCACACCAGCCATTTTTATGGACAAAATGTATGCAACTTCTTTAGAAGAAAACACTTCCAAAACAGGGATTAAGAGAGCTCTTCTCCATGTCTGGAGTAACACAGTCCTCTTTGCTGACCACACTGTAGGCGGAGGTTGCTATGAGTTTGGTTATCAGCGAGTCTGGGATGGGGAGCCCACAGCTCATAAACAGGAAACAGCCCACAACTCATTTTGAATTCCAATAAATATTTCGTCGTTTTACTGCCTTTGGGACAGCGTTAGTGTGTGAGCCAGGACAAGATGTATGAAACTTCTATTTGCCCCTCAGAAAAGCTAGCTGAGCTCAACAGCTCAGCTTGTACGATGTCACCTCAGGGACCAGCAATACAAGTACACATGCAAACGGACCTCCTAAATCCAGTCTGAAAGTTCAATATGGAAACTCAAACACAAGTGTCCTCACTCTCCACAGCTTCCTTGCCAAAACAAGAGGGGAAGCAGTTTTAAGAGCTGATCACATACCCAGAGAAAACCAATACATATTTGCAACTGCACAGAAGCTTATTCTGTTTGTGTATATTTCAGGGGGAAAAGAGAGAGAGAAAGAGAGGGAAGGGAAGGGAAGGGAAGGGAAGGGAAGGGAAGGGAAGGGAAGGGAAGGGAAGGGAAGGGAAGGGAAGGGAAAATTCATCCGCGCAGATAACATCTTTCACAGAAATAGTCCCTCATCCTTGTTATCAGCTGAGCTCTGTTAGACACAGCCCGTGGGGAAATATGTAGGTGTTAAAATTGGGAATTAACTTACTAAATCAACTGATTCTTGCAGCATTGGGTGTTGGCCCAGCTTGGGACAGACCTTGGAGCAGCACTAATGGTTGAGAAGTTGGGCTGTGACCAGAACTGGCTTGAAATAGTCTGAAAAAGCCTTAAATAAATGTGAGGGCTTTCGTTAGCTTCTGTTTTCCACGGTTAATACTGCCTTTTATTGGTTGGTACTGAGGCATGCTTTCTGGTGGTTTTTCAGCCTCTACCTCTTACTATTGTTCCTGTACTGAGTGCTCCGGTGTCCAGGTGCATGTGCTTAACCCAAATTTATGAGAAATTTATGGAATTAAATATAGTGCTCACTGCAGTAGGGGTTGAAGCTCCACGACAGTGCTCTCCTTCCTTCCCTTCTGGGCCTGTGTTTCTGTTTTCTGAACTGCCACAAACTATGTTTCCATCGAGTAAAAACAAGCAGAAGCTGCATGTGTGTGTGTGCATACTTGGTACCTGTAAAATACCTTCCCATTGGAAACATCTGAAATGAGTCATGTTTTCTCCTCCTGGCACCTATGTTATCAACTACTCAGGTCAGTGAGTGAGAACGTGAAAGTGAAAATGCAATTATTTGATGAAAAAAAAAGCTAGTGATACTTTTTGTGAAGTAATGACCACAATCATGAGGATCATCAAGAAATGTAATATAGATGAAGATGTCAAAGAGCAGAAATGGGGGGGGGGAGGCAGCTGACCCCCTTTTGAAACCACTGTATTTATGCTTCTGGTTGCCTTTCAGAGACTTAAGAGCCTCAAGAAGCCAAAACCCTTTACAAAGCCTCGTTCGGGGGTTTGCTGGGTTTTATTCGGGATTTCGGGCTTTGTTTTGCAGCCTCGACCCGCGGCAAGTTTCTAAACACGACAAAGCTTTTCTCAGCCGGCCGCACTCAAGGAGAAGCCCCTGCGCCAC